CTTTAGACACACAGACAACTGGTATAATGAAGGTTGATATATTTAGAGCAAAAAACTTGACAAAAGTTGATGTACACGGTAAATTCAGTATATTTTACTTATCGCTCTTGTACTTTCTTCTTAATCTTTTTTTAATCTCTTTTTAATCTCTTTCTAAAAAATGTTATCATCTTGTTTCTCCAAAAATATAGGTGAAAATGATCCATATGTGTTATCATCACTAGATCCACCTCCGTATATGCATACTCACAACACTACTCGCATCATCTATAATTGTGCCAATCCCGAATGGAATGAAACTTTCTTTCATAAAATTCCGCAACTTGATATCGTTGATGAACGTATAAAATTCAAGTTGAGCGTCACAGATTGGGATAGATTTACTTCTGATGACCTTATTGGAAATGCATGGATTGATATTAAAAATAAGATTGGTGATGGAACTAAAAGAGTTAAAATTCATGATGGGTGAGTTTTTATTAAACAATTCATTAGATAATTAGTGAGATTAGAACATATAATAAATTTCAAACTATTGAATTCCTTGTTAGGTGGCATGACCTTTATCTTAAACCTTTGGATTCATTATCTCGTGGACAATTACAATTTCGATTAGAATATTTCCCAAAATTGCCTAAAAACGTTGAACCATCCCATGATCAAACTTGTAAGCTGTTTATCTTTCAGCATCTATAAACAATGCTAATTACTATCCTTGCTTAACGAATATTATCCTTATATAAGCTGGAATTCTCGGTCTCCAAATCCATCAGGGGATGAGCTTGCAAGTTACAGCTGCACCATATGCTAAAGAAGCCGGAATAGTTTTGTCTGATAATGTTTACGATGTAACATATCCAAATCCTTATTGTGTCGTATATTTGAATGATGCTAGAGGTACGTGCTTTTCAAAGATTAGTTATTAATTTCTCTTCACAAATAATTGAATGTTTAAAATTAATTATTTCTTAATAAATGTAGTCTTTAGAACTCGTGCCAAATTAAACAAGTATGTCTTAATGAAGTCAGTAATAAAAATAATAAAAATAATATAATAATAATAATAATATCTTTATCATTATAATTATCATTATAATTATCATTATAATTATTATTATTATTATTATTATTATTATTATTATTATTATTATTGCTGTTGTTGTTATGATCATTATTATCAACTCTGAATGCATCTCGATGGAGTCATAGGACAAATTGTGCAACAAACTGCCAAGGTTCTTATGTCCTGGACAAAGACAAGAGTTGCATTTAGAGAGACAAAGAATTGCACGTAAACTTATCGAATCTTGATATAGTGCGGCGCCATACTGGAACGCGTCTACAGAACAATTTGTTAAAGATTGGAAAACGGCGGTTGTTAGAATTGTTGTTAAAGATCAAAAAGATCTGGGTAATTGTTGTCTCCTAGCATAATTTAGTTTTTGCCTTTTCTTCATAATCTCATGTTGAACTCTTCGAAATTATAGAATATGATCCGGTAATTGGAATGGCAACAATTCCTTTAAAGGGACTTCTTGAACATAAGGGAAAGGTAGTACAGTTTTAATAAATATTTTTTATACAGTAATGACTTCAATGTTTAATCTATATAAGAAATGACTTAAATGTTTAATCTATATATAAATAGCAAGGAGAAAAATGGTATCCATTACGACATGGCGTTGGATGCGGTAAAATTCGACTAAGTTTCGTATTCAGAAGCTTAGAGATGAATTTATCGCCAGAAGAAAAAGGATATGATGTGGGAACTTTACTCGTGCATTCAATTATTGCTGAAGATTTAAATCCGAACTTAGCGTGTAAGTGATATCATTTTAATTGCTATAGATATTTCTTAATGTTAATTAACGTCTTTTTTCCAAACAAATAAACAGCCAATAATTTTTCCCTAACTCTTTCACTATGTGGTTCTTTGGAAAATGATCAATATACAATAACATCTCATGGTAATCCACCGAGTTGGCTTATTACTTCAAATCGCGCAGATCAAAATAAGTTACAATTTGGAGTATTAAGACGTCATAGAACCGGACTTGTAATTACATTGAAACAACGTGGCATATTTGGAGTGACACACACTGTGGGCACTACTACTTTCTGGTTGAAAGATATGTGCGATTGTAAAGAATTCGAAGTTAAGTTACCAATATACGCAAAGAAGTCTGAAAATAGTCTTAGACTGCAAGATCAGACGGTAAAAGAACAACAATCCATGAGTAATCTGACAAATAATGAAGAGGTTTCTCGTCCTCAACATAAAACTTTTAAAGACAATCAATCGAATGTAGCTGAAGGACCGTCCAAAGAAATTATTTCCGATGAATTAGAAATCGGAGAAATCATTTACGACGAACCACAAGAATTAGGTATATCCAATGAATTGAATAATATTACACCAAATGAATTATCACAGCAGGGACACTGCTCATCTTCAACAAATGATAAAAATAAACAATGTAAAGGATACCTTAAGGTTAAACTGTACTTCCGACCGGGTTTATCAACAGCTCATGAGGAAGATATTAAGAAAAGTTTGACAGGAGTAGACGCAAGTATTTTAGAGCTTAATCCATTTCAAAATATTCATATTCGAAGAGATGATGAGACAGAAACGTTTGACATTGAAGAACGAAGTGTGCCCGATAATATAGGAATGTATGAAATTGATGATTAGGGATCTAGGACTTTCTAGGACTCAAATCCTTAAATCACATGACAACATAATTCTGTATTGTTAAACAAATGTATTATGTTTTCATGTGACTCAAGCACCGAGTCCTTATCGATCCTTGAAAGGATCTGCCAGTATCCGTTAGCGTTGATTCTCACTTACCCGACATCACATAGGGTTAGGGTTAGCATTTTGTTAGTTGTAGATATATATTTTTAGCAAATTGTCATCTGCGTGATGTCGGGTGACATGTCGGGGAAATAGCTTTCGGGAAATCGTACCGTAACCATCGGTTAGGACTCGATACCAAAAGATACTCTCCGATTCAAAATTTGAAACACCAATAAGATTTTAATACTCCATTTATTTTCGAATATGTAAACTTTTTTCATAGAAGTACATACATACATTGTACCTTTCTGGTTTAGTGGTTTATATTTCTAGTCTAATTGTATTGATAATTACAGAACTAAATCAAAGGTTTTGCATTAATAAGCCTTCCAAATTTATCTATACACCACAGTACGTATCACTGAATGGAGCCTAATACGTGGTAACCTTTTCAAATGAGAAGCAACTGATTTTCTAACAAATTGTTTGTTCTTTATATGCATTAGCACGCGTATTTGAACTTTAAGGTGAATTTTTGATTTCGGTTACTGCACCGTAAAGATCCTTTATAAAAACATTTTTATGATGAGGATTTTTTTTTTTAAAAAAAAATATATATAT